TTAAAAATAGGTACACAATAATTTATAGAAAATAGGTGCATTGTATAATTGAAATTTATGCACATTTTTTATAAATTAAAAATAGGTACCTTATTTAGAAGAAAAAAATAAGTTCATTATATTAGGTAAATTGTTTTACTAGATATACATTATTAGAGAAAAAAAAAAATAGGTACATTATTTAGAGAAAAAAAATAGATACAAAATTTAGAGAAAAAAATAGGTTCATTATACTAGGTACATTATTAGAGAAAAAAATAGGTACAATATTTAGAGAAAAAATAGGTTCATTTTAAAAAAATATTTTTCACAAAACAAATAATAAATAGATTATCAAATTATTTTTCAACATAATTAGAATGTACACTATTATTCATAAAACTATAATAAAATAGAATACTAGTCGTATAATTCATAAAAGGAAAACAACATTAATTCCTAAATTTAATATTGAATTTAAATTACTAATACATTAAATATATTACTAGTCGTAATTCATAAAAAGAAAACAACATTAATTCAAAAATAGATTACAAGTCGTAAAATAGATTACTAATACGTTAATTTTGAATTTAATATTTAATTTCAAATAAGTTTCTAAATTAATTCCTACATCCATTACAACAATTTGAAAATCTTTCCAAATTCAACGTGTGTCATTAGTTACACCCCTCATAACACATTAAGTCATAAATAGGGATAGTTTTGGAATCCGAAAAATACAATAAATCAGATTTTAAGTTATATTAGGTAACTTGCTTAGTTGGATCCTAGTCATCGGGTATTATTTGAAAAAATTGGGTATTTTAAATAGAAAACTAAAGGAAATGGTTTTAGGTGATTTAAAATGAATTTTATGGGTCTAAGCTCAATTTACTTTAAAAAAATGGAAGGAAATGCATTGCATGATAGGTTTAACTGATTTAAGTTGATTATATAGCGAGCTGACAAACACTGCAAGTGTAGAAAATATGTAGTGATTAATGAAAGAAAATTAAACACACCATATTATTTATAATGGTTTACTGCAATATTTTACACTTTATACATTGCGTGGTAAGATACATGAGTGACTTAGTACCAAGGTTCAAATTTGAGTTATTTACACTAACACCTCCTGAGGTTTTCGGCTTTTCCACAAAACTCCTTGAGGTTTTAGAAATTACAAAAACACCCCCTTATATTTTAAATTGTTTTCACAAAACTCATTTTATTGTTTTTTTCATCCAAAAATTGATGATTTTATACCCAAAAAAATTCTCTAGGAACGTGAACCCCTTAGGTGCATGTCGAAGACATCTACCCTTCGTGACTGGAATTGGTGGGGTAATCCAAATAATGGTATATTCAAAGGGTACATTCAGAGGTTTGGATTAGAGCAACTTAATAGGTGTATTAGGTGTTCTTATCGGAATGCAGATAAGATTGTGGTATCTCCATTCGTTGAGAGGTGGCATCCCGAAACGAACACCTTTCACATGCCTTTTGGTGAGATGACCATCACATTAGATGATGTGTCATCTATTTTAGGCATTCCTATGTCTAGTGCAACGGTTGCTCCCCTTGAAGATGATAACGGCACAAATTTCGAGTTGTTAGTTAATTACTTAGGAGTGACTGATGAAGAGGCTACTGAACAATTGCACCAATACAGTGATGAGTATGTTAGTTTGTCATGGTTACGGGCGCGATTCTCCAATGTTTCAGACACAGATTCAGAGGAGTACATCATGTATTCGGCCAGAGCATATTTGCTATATCTCTTAGGTTGCACTTTGTTTGTTGACAAGACTGGCACAAGAGTCCAAATTGTGGACCTTAGACTACTTAGAGACCTTGATAGTGTTGCTAGTTATTTATAGGGGTTTGGGTGCTTAGCATGGTTGTATAGACAATCAGGCCAAGCTTCGAGGTCTAAGGTGAAGCAAATTGCTGGGTACATGACTTTGCTGGAGGCATGGGTGTATGAGCACATGCATGGTGTTGTTGTCCCTGATCATGACCTTGATTATTTAGAGGTCTAACCTTGTGCACTTCGTTGGATTCCATGTCGAGACAATGGCACAACATCGGTAGACGTGCAGAAGTATAGACAGTGGCTTAATGCTTTGAATGCTGATCAGGTGTGTTTCTCTTAATATCATCCAACTTTGCTATGTTTTGTATATATATATATATATATTCGGAAAGTAATGTATTTTCCCGTAGTTCATGCTATATTATGTATCATATTTCAGGTTATATGGGAACCTTACAAGTTTGAAAGGGAACACCACCCATTTCTAGATGTTGCATTCTACTCAGGCATGCTCAGATGTTGTGATGTTATTGATCCCTACCATATGTTGGGAGAGGCGAACCGTTGTGTACCAATGAGGAGACCATTAGATACTATGCCTGGGGTACTTGGAGTGGTACCTCAATGTGGGATATCCGTTTGTCCAGAATCCTAATTTTGGAGATGCATTTGACCCATTTGCCTTAATGCAAAGCAAATATTATCATGTAAATTTTTTAATTTTTTATGACTTCCACTTTTTCAATTTTGTACTTTTTACTAAGGCATTGAATACAAATTCGTTACAAGAATGTAACGAGCGTATGTTGTCCTTTACTAGGCCGCCCGTGGCATTATGGGAAACAATTGCATTGCGTACACGACATTCCCAAGTTTATCAAGCAGTTGAGACCTTGCAGCAGATTTTAGAGGGTACAAACATACGGTCTATCATGACATATCAACGTCGTCATGGTTAACTGACTTGCTAGCATGCATTTATTAGAACTTATGGAACTTTTGTTGTTTTGATTAGTTATTGCATATTTGCATTAGAACTCATGGAACTTTTGTTGTTTTGATTAGTTATTGCATGTTTGTATTAGAACTTTTGTTGTTTTGATTAGTTATGAAGTTTGTCCCACTAAAAAAAGTGAATATAAGAAAAGAAATATAATTATTAGATTTATAATCTCAATTCTATAGTGGGTGCATTTTCGTCAGTCATTAGGATGACCGTATCTGTAGTAGCTACATTCTTCACTCCCGGAAGTTGTTGAAATGCATCCACACGCGCTTGATACCTCGAGTACAAATGTGTTACATTGCATATGTCACTTTGTTCATGCCACATTCTAGAAACTGGTGGAATAGGATGATCTGGAGACAAATGAACCTACAAAACAAGAATTCATTCATATACACATAACATATAAAATTAAACTATGTAGCGTAACAAATCAATTCATACTTGGACATAGTGATTATCGTCAACAAAACCTATAGCAATCTCACGTAGCTTGGTTTTGCTTGATTGAACTGAGAAAGGAAAAAATATAAGGCATTGACACATGCTTAGAATGATTAAAACCATATTATAACATGTGGCAATAATATGCACCATATCAGGCATGATCATCCAACAAAAGAATGGTGCAAATCCATCACCAAAATAATTTTGCGCTCACTCAATCTCTTTGTACCGTTTATGTTCCCGAATACACTTCTTAAAAACAGAAGACATATCATGTATTGCTTCAACAAATCCTTGCGTACCCTACACCATTCATTATGACCAAATCCCATTGTCATAGCTATGGTTCTATATCCACAGTTACCATCCGGAAGAACTTCAGTCTGGTGAGTGATATATTTTCTAATACCCTTCGGGAATTTCTCTATATGCATATATGTATTGAACGCTGATTGGTTTTTGCGAGACTTATAGAGCTGAAAATAAAACAATATATTAGTTATGTGGTAATAACACATTTTAAAATACAACATTTGTATTACATACCTTAAATATTTTTGGTTTAGACAATATGGAACTAAAAGCAACCATGTTTATTTTCTTTGGCACTGTAGTGGTACTCTTCTTCGGTTTTATTTTTAGTGAGGCAGTGAGGCTTTGCTTTGGTTTATTTTTAGGTAGAGTAGTGGATGCCTCAGCAATCTCAAATGCAGATGACAAACGACGAGTAGAAGTTTCGACTTTTCATGGTCTCCCTTTGGTCTTCAACTTCTCTTTCGGTTCAGCAAGCGCAGTAGAACCAGGGTTCATTAGCTCCTTCAGTGTCATGTGGACTTGTCTCTTCTTTTCATTATCTTGTTGTTCATACCACATATTGAATCTTTGTAATTGTGACCTTCCTGGTGAAGTTGTGCCATAACTATTGTTTCCTATATTGATGAGATCTAATTTCCTCAAATGTGAATGTACGACATCAAGTGGGATTGGTACACCACGATCTCTATACTCCGTAATTTCATGTGCACATGGTAATTGGTGGGTTCGACGAATAGCATAACCACATGATAAAGCATCCACCCCATCTATTTCTAACTTGTTTGCAAAAAAATTACAATGTTAACTATGTAAACCATATATGCACATGCAATAAGTAAACTGAATTTACCTTTCTAACTCGCACACAATTATACTCAAAACCTTTATGGAAACAAAACCTACTAGCTCTCTCAACTCCGGATGCCTAAACCTATGTTGAATAAAATATCGACTCTTTTAAAAAGATGCCTTAATCTCTGTGTGCTCCTGCTCTAACAATGAGTTAATAGTTACCCATGATATCTCAAAGTTAAGTTGGCTCGAGCGGAGTTGTCGCTTCAACTTTGCATGTGCACTTTCCTCTCTATTGATAACAATAATAAATTTTCCTAAAGCAAAATAAATTTTCAAATTAACATATCAAAAGTTGACTAAGCATTATGGGTAAATATATGGGTAAATATATGTTGAACTTTGTTTTCCTTTGTAAGCATTATTGCCGTCTTTGTTCTTTGTGAAATTTTTTTTTTAATTTGTTTGTGCAAATGAACAATTTTATCCACCAGTCTTTGTGAGTATTATTCCATTAATTTTTATGTTGAGTTGAATTCTTTTGTATTGTAGTTATACGTTCTTTTAAATATTTATGTTATTTGTGTTTTCCCTCATTCTAGGATGGTATTTAATAACCTGATTATTGGAGGTTTTGAACGGTGGAGGGATAATTTGTATCGGGGTTACTTCAGTCTCAATCGAGCCGTTTATCATATATGCCAGCAAAATGTGTCTACTACATATTGAGTCAACATAGCTACATCTTTATCGAGTCCATACGTATTGACGGTTTTTGGGAGTTCGCCTTATTTTGATTCAATGCATGAGGTGATATACACTGTCCCTTTTAAGGGTACATTTTTGGACTGGTTTAAGGATTTGAATAGGCAAGTTACCAACAAATACGAACTTCTATCCGTGGTCAACCTCTCTGTGGGAAGCCCTTAACCAACCCTCCTCCTAATAAGCTCCACATCTATGACATCATTATATTGCAATATGTTATTTATGAAATCGCCAATATATAAGTGCAACCATTCATGACAACATATCAACAACTCCGGGTAGGCAATGTTTGATTGTGCTCTAACATACTAGGCTAATAACTACTCTTCGACTAGCCCAATATCTATTATGAAGTTCAGCTACAACTTTCATAAACACTACCAGACTAAGGTATTTGGATTAGTTGATTTGATGTTGTTTATTGTTTATATGTTAGCGTATTTTTCTTTCTTTCTTTTATTTATGTAGTTTCTTGTTCCTTGTTTAGTTTGAGTTACCTGATGACTTGATGGATGGAATCCTCAACATTGCCTGCCTGGAGTTGTTGATATGTTGTCATGAATGGTTGGACTTATTTATTGGCAATTTCATAAATAACAGATTGCAATATGATGATGTCACCCCTGTGGAGCATATTAGGAGGATGGTTGGTTAAGGGCTTCCCGTAGAGAGGTTGAACACGGATAGAAGTCCGTATTTGTTGGTAACTGGCCTATTCAAATCCTTAAACCAGTCCAAAAGTGTACCCTCAAAAAGGGCAGTGTATACCACCTCATGCATTGAATCAAAATAAGGCGAACTCTCAAAAACCGTCAATACGTATGAACTCGATAAAGATGTAACTATGTTGACCCAATATATAGTAGACTCATTTTGCTGACATATATGATAAACGGCTCGATTGTGATCGAAGTAACCTCAATACAAATTATCTCTGGGATGATTTAAAGAAGTATTGCATGCCTTGAACACGTCAAAAAAATACGCACTAGAAGGCAATCTGGACTTTTAGTGACGTTACCTGCCCCAAATTCGATGTGGTTGGCAGAATATTACGTGCTGCAGGAAAGAATAAGATTTCAAATTGGATGGATCGAGTTAATCTCTGTGTGCTCTAGCTCTAACAATGAGTGAATAGTTACCCATGATCTCTCAAAGTTAAGTTGGCTCGAGCGGAGTTGTCGCTTCAACTTTGCATGTGCACTTTCCGCTTTGTTGATAACAATAATAAATTTTCCAATTAACATATCAAAAGTTGACTAAAATACTTACCCTATTTGAGGTCGTCGATCCAAGATGCATACAAGTGTCTATCCATGCGGCCACAAACCTATCCTTAAATGGATTTAACCAATTGTCATGTCTGTATTCAAGAGCTTTTTGAAATTCACTAAACTTAGACTCAATCTGTCGCAAACAACGCCAATATTCCTTCTTCGTATCTGAACCAACCAAAGTATTCAAATCCTCATTAAATTGCTTCCATTGTTTGAGGGTCCCAAATAACTTTTTGCAGTTTGCCAACACTCCTTTGTTAATATGCCATCTACATAATAAATGTCATGCTTTTGGAAATATAGACGTAATAGAATTCATGAGTGCTAACTCTCGATCGGTGACAATAACACGAGGAAGACAATTATCATCCAACAAACTCCTCAATGCAGTCAAAGCCCATGTGTAATTGTCTTCCTTCTCGGCATTCATATACACATACGCAACAGAGAATGTCATATTAGTAGATGTCACCCCCACAATTTGCAATAGTGGGAAACAATACCTATTGGTCTTATAGGTGCAATCCATGATAAGTACATGTGAAAATGCATGCAAAATCTCAATATTAATGTGGTGTGTCCAAAACAAGTTAGTTACAATATCACCAGATGTCATATGCCACGGAATATAATTGTGTTCGGATAACTTATTAAGGAATTGTTGCATTTGGGTTCTCCCAGCAAATTCTTTGGTTCTATTTCGGATCCTAGCATTGTATATTGTCTTCATAGTTGAAACATTCGTTGCATCTCTTACCTTCAGGGTGATCAAAATATCTTTGGGTTTCATCAAACTCTTAGACATGTCCACCAACAAGGCATTTTCCTCTTTAGAAAGTCGCCCCACAAATGAATGACCTTGAAGATACTTTGAAATAGGATGGTTGTGTACTCCACAAATCACCTCCAACTTCCGATCATCCCCATCACCAATATTGACACCTATCAACAAGAATGAGCATCCACATTTCTTGGTACCAATGTCCCTAGCACATTTTTTCATATCACTATTTGCATCCGACCTTATATCAGTTGTCTCACTAGACTTGCAAGACTTATAGTTACCGCTCCTCTCACAAGCAAGTATTACTTGAGGTCTTCTCTTGCCCTCACCTCCATAATCAAACATTTTAATTGCAATGACAATATTATTCATTTTTCCTTGTGCACGAGCCCATTTAAGTAATGCACCTCTACCATTGAATATCTACACATAAAACTCATGTTATTTAAAGATAAAATTTGAACCATTAATGCCACATTAATGGTACTAAAAATGATTTTAGACAAAAAAAAAAAAAACTCAAAATAATTACCGAATAAGTTGTGAATTGATCACTATAGTCCATTACACATTCTGTTCCCACATTGTTGCCTTCAGTAGGGGCGTCGCCTTGTTTTTGTTCCTTCAATGGAAGTAGGATTAAAATAGTTTGCATTAAATTTGTGGTCGATAATAAGTTACTGAAAAAATAAATAAATTTCGGTTCGTTACCATTGAAACACAAGTAAAATCTCGATAGTAAACCATTGAACAAAGTTCCATATTACGGTGGATCTCCACCGAATATTAAGTTCATGACCGGTCAAATATGACCGAAATAGGTGCAACGTTTCGGTGGCATCCCACTGAATTTACCTGTTGCGTTCAGTACTGATGTGCTGAACGCAACCAGCGACTATCATGAAATACTAAACTTGTAAAGCACCAACAAATAAACTAATACCTCATTTGAAGCCTCTCTAACTTCAATCTCACCCTTCATGAATAAATACTAGATATTTTTTTACCAATATAAACGTATAAATCTCGTTAGAGTTGTAGGAACATGATGGTTTGAGAAAAAAGTCGAACTAGGGTTGCACGAACATATGTGGGGTGTAGTGAGCAATTTTAATTTTTTTTTATCCTTAACAGTAATTATGTACAAGGATAAAATAGGTTATTCATGTTTAAAATTAATATGGGGTGCCAATAAAATCTCCCTTATTATATAGCTGTGAGCTATGTCAAATTTAAGTTTATCCGCTTCCGGTCTCTAATGGCAGAACCTATGCTGCATGCTAAATTTGCAGCTCAACTCTTTCATCTATGTTCCTGAGTCTTTGGAGCGCATTGTTTAGACTATTGTTTATAGCAAGTTTGATGATTTGCAGCATCAGTGATTTAGACAATTAAGGCACAGTGATTATCATCCATAGTTTTGACTTTGGTTTTTCCTTTTGTATTTCCTAGAAATTAATTTGAGTGAGAAATTTGGATTTCTATTTCAGAAGGTTTGTTCTAGAAAATGCAAAATCCAAATATTATGAAGTGTGCAACGGAGAAGATCCTCTTTTTGCTTTTCCAAAATATAAATAGTCTATTATATTAATTTGATGTTTCATACCCCCAACTTATTTTTTATAGTTAATGTTCCATTTGTGTTTTGCAGGCCTGAGTCATTGGGTATTGTTTTTAGAATTGTTTTCTTGGTCTTGGGAATGTTATTTCAACTTCACTACAGATTCAAATGTAAGTCGTTGCTCTCTTTCAATTTACGATTTCTGCAATTTACTGTTGCTCAGAGGTGAAATTGTTTGCTTTTGGTGAAATATGAGAATTCATGTTTGTTTATTATTTGTTTGTCTACTTTTTAAATGTAGTTATTTACATAGTTAAAGGCGTTAGTGAAAAAACTGTTCCCACCAATTGAGGGGTAGGTGATGAGTACATCTTTGTCAAACCCATTAGAGTTTACAATGAAAGAGATGTAAAAAATTTGATGGCCTAATACTAATGTGGTGTTTAAATTTGGTGGCCTAATACTAATTTGATGGCTTTATCAGATGTTTTAGATGTAATGAACAAAACTTTAACCCATAGCCTGTTTTTTCTGCCTTTATTATGCTTATATAACCTATAAGTGTTTATAGGTTATTTATGCTTTTTTATAGCTTCCTTCTTCATTAGATTAACTTAGCCTATAAATGACAATACATGCATCAATTTTGACTATAGGTGTCTATAGATTATCTCTGCTTCTGTACAACAAACTTGCTCATGCTTTGATTCTCTTATGAGTATTTGGTTTGATTCCATTAAACTTTGGGTCTTTTGGTTTCATTCTGTTATAGGTATTACTTTGTTCACCAGATTTCGAGAATGCTTGGCATATTTAAATTGTGGTTTGTGCAATTGATTTTGTGGCCATAATTCTGTAATAATAGTCATTGTCTTTGCTCAAATTTTCCTATTTGTCTACACTAACACCTACCATTTTCCAAAGTTGTAGCAACAGAATCAACACCCCTTGATTTGATTCTATTAAAGCTCGGGTGTTTTGGCTTAATTTTCTCATACCTATTTAATAAATTGTCACAATTGTTCTAAGTTTGTTACCAATTGATTAAATAGAATGAGGTTATACTTTTGTCCATCAGATTAATAGAATGCTTGATGTATTTAAGCTGCTTTTTGCCCTGTTGGATTTAGATTAATAGAATGCTTGATGTATTTAAGCTGCTTTTTGCCCTGTTGGGTTTTTGAACTTAATTATGTGATTATAATTATTTCCCTCACTCAAATTTTCCCATTTATCTACACTAACACCTGCCGTTTTCCAAATTTGTACCAACAGAGTTGAAACCCCTGCAAAGAAAAAGAAAGAACAGAAGAACTTAATTATGTGATTATAATTATTGCCCTCACTCAAATTTTCCCATTTATCTACACTAACACCTGCCGTTTTCCAAATTTGTACCCACAGAATTGAAACTCCTGCAAAGAAAAAGAAAGAATAGAAGCCACATCTACAGCATAGCCAACAAGAGATGGATCCCCTTCAAACAGACATCAAAGCATAATAATCCCCTTCCACCACCCAGTAGCATGTATATAAAGACCTGTCCAAACTCTTTTGAACAATGAGTAGCTCAAAACTACTGATATTTTGGTGTTTTGATTGCTGCTTGGTTTATTAAAATATGGTCAATATTTTAACATGACCAGCAACATATAAAACATGTTATTAGTGTATTTTTGTAACTTGCTAAACAAAGCATGATGCCACTGTTTAGATCTCCATGTCTATATAAATAGTACCATCTTCCCTACATATTTTAACGACTTTGTACACATTTCACACAGTTTTAAAACCCGTAGCATCGCGCGAGCACCTTTGCTAATTACAACTAAACGCAACTTGGACGAAATAAATACTGCCTAATGATCTAATAGAAATAGACCCACCCACGATTAAAAACCGAAATAGCATCCTAAAATCCTCAAACAATTGGACCCACCTCATTTTCCTTTTTTCCCCTTGTTCCCGCTTCCTTCACCAACAACAACATGTGATCCGATTCACATCCTTCTTCCTTAGCTATCTCTTCTCCTTCCATCCTCTGCCTATTGGGTGGTTCAGTAGTTTGAATACTGTGGTGTTCCACAATGCCAAGGATTTGGCCCTTTTCATCCCCTTCAGTGCAAGCATCTAGTCTACAGAAATCGAACTATTATGCCATCCACTACTACAAAAAAAATGAAATAGACGACGTTGTGATGTTTTGAAAAACGTCATTAAATCGACCACCATCTTTTGGAGTATCAAACTACAACGGCTTTTCACCGTCGTTGTTTATCTATAAGACGATGCTGTTTTGTTACAAACCGACATTATTTATGGGTAAAGACGACGGTTTGTAACAAAAAAGCGTCGTCTTTTATGGGTAAAAACGACGGTATTTTGTTAAAACCGTCGTTATTTATGAGTAAAAACGTCGGTCATTTTTTATAACTGTCGTCATTTATGAGTAAAACCGTCGTCATTTATGGTAAAGACGACAATTGTTTGAAAACAACCGTCGTCTATTATGTCTAAAGACGACGATGTGATAAAAACTGTTGTCCATTAACTCTAAAGATGGTGATGTATTATCTGTAAAACTGACGTGATTTTACATTTTAGTTTTTTTTTTCCAATGGTTCTATAGAACGATTTTAACTAGGAAAACAACCGCAATGCTTTTTGAGCAATAAATTCATGTCCAAATCTGCTATTATCCACACCATACATGTATATACTCAAACATTGTTTCTTTCATAAAACTTGAATATTCAATAGTAATTACATAGTTTACTAATCTTGATATCTACTATATCCATACAAAAATACCATATCCATAGCATTAACCTATACTTATAAAGAGAGGAAGGTGGGTAAAGACGACGGTTTGTCGTTAAAAATCGTCTTTATTTATGGGTAAAGACGACGGTTTTTAACAACAAACCATCGTCTTTACCCATAAATCATGTCGGTTTGTAACAAAAAAGCGTCGTCTTTTATGGGTAAAAACAATGGTATTTTGTTAAAACCGTCGTTATTTATGAGTAAAAATGTCGGTCATTTGTTATAACTGTCGTCATTTACGAGTAAAAACGTCGGTATTTTGTTAAAACCGTCGTCATTTATGGTAAAGACGACAATTGTTTGAAAACAACCGTCGTCTATTATGTCTAAAGACGACGGTGTGATAAAAATTGTTGTCCATTAACTCTAAAGATGACGATGTATTATCTGTAAAACTGACGTGATTTTACATTTTAGTTTTTTTTTTCCAATGGTTCTATAGAACGATTTTAACTAGGAAAACAACCACAATGCTTTCTGAGCAATAAATTCATGTCCAAATCTGCTATTATCCACACCATACATGTATATACTCAAACATTGTTTCTTTCATAAAACTTGAATATTCAATAGTAATTACATAGTTTACTAATCTTGATATCTACTATATCCATACAAAATACCATATCCATAGCATTAACCTATACTTATAAAGAGAGGAAGGACATGTGGTTGCTCATAAATGTTGCCCATTCGATGCGAACTTCTGCTGGACCTTCAATGTCCACACCATGGCTGCCATTATGGACAACTCTACCAATCCTACAATTCACCATTTACATGACAATAAACAATTAATTCAGGAAAAAATAAAACACAATAACCAGAGCAAAAGCCTTGGAGTTTTTTATTATCTAACTAAAGCACTCAAAGCATAATAAAGAAGGAGAAGAAAGCTGAAGGGAAAAACTCTCTGTTTTGTTCCTTCTCTCAATATAGGAGGAGACTATTATTCTCCTTAACTTCTCTTCCTACACAGTAGTGCACTTAAGACCTCTATAGTCTTGTTCTCTTACAAACTGAAAGAGCTAATCTAATTAGGATAAGAACATCAAACATAAAGCTTTATCAGATAGAAGAGCAAGCTTATGCAAAGAGCAAACAGCTAGTCAATCCTAAATTGCATAACTAACAAAAAATCTTTATGAAAAGCTTAGACTATAAACCACTAGCCTAACAAAAGTAAGATATCAACATACACTTCACAAAAGGCAGCAAAAAAAACAAATCCTATGAAAAGGATCTTACCCCATGTATAGTTTGTGACATCGAAGACCAGCTCATCTTCTCCTTTGTCTCTCTAATCAGCTCATCTTCTCCTTTGTCTCTCTGATCTGTCGCTTGAGGTTCGATGGCAGATATGATATTCTAGGCG